GAGACTCGAGGAAGCAACGAGATTGCGAAATCGCTCCCAGGACCCACAAGTGTGGCTTCTCATAATATAATTGTCACTCTAATCGGCCTCGTCGTAAACAGAGGGTTGGCTTAATATTGTTCCCAATGGAAAACAAGAGCGAAATTACAGCGTTTAACGTGATTAAAGTCAACATCACGCCGCATTTCATGTCCGCCACATTCGATGCAAGAATAGGGCTGACACCGCCGGCTGCACTCGCTGCAGCTGTGTGATCCAAAAATACATCTAACGAAAGTCACAGGATGGCGACAGAGGCGCGCACGTCCTCCCCTATATCAGCGCGGGGCATGAACATTTCTTTAATAACCCCCTCTGCTGTGTCACAGCGCGTAGCGGGGGCCCGACACCCTCCCGCTCGCGAGGGTTTTTGCCTGTCTCGCTTCTCATTGATACACTTGTTTTCTTTTATTTTGCGACCCCCACCCCTCCAGTCGACTCCAGTGCAAGAAGCGATCGCGACTCATTGACCAGCCAACAGGAAACAACGAAAAGCTGAAGGCTTGGGCTGGGGGGATCGTGCCGTGCTGCCATGCAATGCTGCTGCCTGGCCTACAATGTTAACATCAGCTAGAAAATTCAGTGTGTTTGTTTTCTTCTGTTTATTAGGGGTGTTTGCTAAGACAAGCATCACTTTTGCTAATGCTCATATTTAAGGGATGTAAACAAACACATTGCCCTTAGTATTCAACTTCATATTGCACTGTTTGTGCTACAAGCCTTATGCAGGGACTTCAGGATGGGCTTTTTGACTTTGGACCACCCAGAAGACCATTTAGCAATAGCTTAGCAAATGTTCAGAGTTTTACCTAACTCAAATTTGTTTTAAGATTTTCTGAAGGTAAATGGAACTAGGTAATAATAACTTGAATCTAAATGTCTAGTTGGAAATGTTGTCTATGATACTAATAATTTTACAATACAAAACTACACACACACTATTTACAAAATGTAATGTGTGTGTATTTTAATTTAATACATATAATTCATTTTTTATTATAATTGTTGTCTAATAATTATATATATATATATATATATATATGTGTGTGTGTGTGTGTGTGTGTCTGTATATATGAACAATAACTACTACTATATTTTTTATTTTCTGTTTTTTGTTCATATTTATTCACTTGTGTGTGAATTATATATATTTACACTATTTAATTAAATAACAATTTTATTTTATCTTATATATGCACAAATCATTTCTATCTATCTATCTATCCAT